CGGTACTGAGCTTCACGGTTACCAACATTGTGCACCTGCAGAGTCTTCCGGGTGTTGTAGTTAACTGGACAGACTGAGAAGTCCAGCTGATCAGGGAAGTCCAGGACAGCTCGGGAACCAATGGCTCGGATTGGCACAATTAAGTTTTCTCTGTCGGTGATGCAGAGGACCTGGTGGAAATAATCCTGCACAGAAAGAAACCGTCTCAGCACAGGGCATTTATCCCTACCTTCACCATGGGCAGAGTTTCCCCCAGTCTAGATGCACTGCAACTCCACTGAAACAGCAGAGCTCCTCAAAAACCAGGCCAGATGACCTGTCCTGAATCCAGCCCTGCAGGTTCACTTTTCACTGAAGGCATCAATCTCTTGGGACCTCCAGGCTCACCTTGTTCTCCTCAGGGGTGAAGTGGATCTGTAAAGTAGAAGTCATGCCTGGTGGTACCATATGGAACACACTGTTGGCGCCAACCAGCTTGAAATAAGGTGAGTTTTCCATGGTGACCTTCAGCATATGAGGAACCTGCAGGAAAGACATGAAATGATGATTTTGCCACCTGTGGAAAACGGTGGAGAGCTGGCCATGCCCTGGTGACATCCTACCTTAGCCACCTTCCCAAAGCACTTCTAGCTCTGAAGGGACAGGCACATAATGCACAAGGGCAGACTTGAATCCCTTCTGCTTGTTATATCAGGATATAGTTTGACTTCGGCTTACACCACAGGAATTACACCACTCTCCTCCTCTTCCAGTACAGTGTTAAACCACCACGTCCCAGCACTTACCTTGTCCCTGTTCGTTAGCACCAGTGGCATTTCATAGACCTTATGGGGGACATAGTTTTGAAATACCACTTCTGACGGGAAAGGCTGAAACAAGGTCTGGTCCAAGTCAATCGATGAGAACTGGAGAGGCAAGAGAGAGCAGTGAGAGGTTCAGCTGCTGGAAGGAAGATCCGTGAATGAGAATCCTACACTGATCTCCAGAGACATAGAGAATCTTGATGACTATGTCTGCTCAGCTCACACTGGGGAAACAGTAGCTCACCTTCCTCTACTCTGAGCTCATCAAAAGCTGCTGGACCACAGTGATCAGGCTCAAGCTAAGCAGCTTTTTTAGTACTTTCTTCAAATGTCACGTCAAACAGCAAGGAAAAGGGCAGGAAAAGGCTACCTTGTGATGGGAGGTCTCACTCATGTCTGAAATCTGGACAACCTGAGGCAGCCTCATCTCCCGAGTTCTGGCCAGCCTCTGCTTGGTGGTGAGAGACATCTCCTCCTGGAAGGCAGAGGGAGTCAGCTGAAAGATAAAAAAAAACAGCAAGAGCCTCAGAAATGCCCTTATTTTCAGAAAGGCTTTTCTTGTTCAAGTGCCACTGATGAATAATTTGTGATCACAGCCACTAGACAGTCCTGGAAGTCCTGAAAGTTACCTGCTGAAATATTTAACAATAATGATAAATTAGTGATACAGAGCAGAATATACATGCTCTAACCACGTGACTCTGTCCCATTAGCTTCTCTGTGATTTGATGTGACATGTTTGAGGATTTCTGGACTTTGGGCATTTGTTTCCTCTTTAATTTCACTGGATGACCTTTACAGAGAGTGGGGAGGAGTTAACAGAACTCTCCTAACTCCTTCCTTGCACAACACTCACAACCCACAGTGTGTGGAAATGTCACTGCTGGCTGAGTCCGAGGGAAGCAGGAAAGCAGCGTTGTGCCAAGGCTGAGGTGCAGAGGAATGGGTCCAAGTTTTAGTTCTCTCTTTTTAACTCACACTTTCACTTGTTTTCTCTCTGTCTAGCCTCACAGATCTTTCCACAGAAGAACAGAGGAATCTCCTTGACAGAGCCTTGGCACTAGGTCGTCTCCTGTCAAGTGAGCTCCAGTCAGCAAAGGGGAAGTTTGCGGATGGGAAGGAGGAACTGCCCTGACTCCTCTGCTGTCTGCAGGGCTGGGTCTCTGCTCCACACAGGAGATAGAACAACTGTTTTGAAACCTGTTCTAGCTGGGACCAGCCAAGTCTCTCAAGGCTTTGGGCAGAGTTTGAGCAGCCCTCCACATGCCCAGGTGAGTGTGCCTACCTGACAGAAGGAATTACTGCCCATCAAAGAGGCTGGAAAGAAAGAAGCACATGCTTGTGCTTCAGCTTTACATTTCTTTAACTCAGCTCCAGTGGCAGAGCCAGGCAAGGCTCTGGGCTGTGCCTGAAGCAACACACAGTCCAACTCCTACTGCACCATGACAGCCCCTGCCA